TAAATATGATCTCGAAACTTGTGAATATTATATAATATATAGTTTATATAGTTTATATAATAAACCTTTCTTCTATAAAACAAAGTTCGTTTATCAACCGTCCGCAAAAATTCCGAAAAAGTGTCAAGCGGGCGTGATTAAAAGGAATATGTCCCCTTACTTTCATTTTTATACGCCCACATCTCTCTATGTGGACATGTACTTGTAAATGCTCTAAAAACTAGATTTTTTGATGGAACCAAATGAAATTCGGTATGTGTATACATATTCATAAAACGAAGACCAAGTTCGAATTTGAGCTATTTTCGACTGTTAGAAGCAGAGTTATTGCCCTTGCCCCAAATCCTGAATATATACCATCTTGAACATTTACCATCCACATGCCGTGGTGGGCGTATATGGCTGTGGTCCACTATATTTACAATAAGGTTATGTAGTGGTTTTCAACCAGCAGGGGTAATATTTTTGTGGTTAATGAGGCACGTGGATGTCCAGCATAAAATTTGTGGACAATTATAATTTATGTTGTTTTAATCAGTCAGGCTATATTCTCAGACATGAAACAGATTACAGGGAAGACCTAAGAGAAAATCACGAAATAGTAAGAATTTATAGAGAGAGGAGGGGTGATGCGATCGATCATGGATCCTGAAAGGGGGTAATGCAAGAAAAAGGTGGAAAACCCCCGTGGTAATGCCTTACAAGGCGTTGGAGCATGAATACACTTACAACGCTAAGGACAAGATCTGGGTGTGTTACTTTTTATATTTAGAGGCCTTCGATACTCGACAGTCATAAAGTGTGAAACAGTGTGTTTGTGTATTCTAATATTGATGGTGTAAAGTGTAGGTCCACACATAGCGAATGTAATTATAGATTAATTAATATTCATTTAAAATGATAATTAGATGAATCTATACTGGAAAATATTAATTAAACGAATCTAATTTTGATTGGAATATATATTTTTTTAATCATGACTCACCATGCTATATTTTTCTCAAAATGTTTCTAGTAAACCCAGATAAAATTCATTTTGACAAGCTCCTTTATTAATATCAGAAAAACCCGACGTCAGGTTAACAGTTGTTTAATATACACTCATTAGAAAAGAGTTGATTTTTCGACCTCACGTTGAATCCAATTTCCGGAATGGTGCCAAGGTAGGATGATGTCATTTACCATTACATCTTAAAATAGTCTTCTGCTGGCTAGAATTGGAGAATCGGTACAGACTGACTCTTAACAGCACTTCCCGTGAAACCAATATTAGTCACGTGTTAGCATGAGATATGGCGGTTTTCCCAATTGTTGTATTGTTGACAGTTGAAAATGAAAAAAGTAGGTTAATGCTGCTTTTCTGGCAAAATTTCCTCATTTCGGTCAGTTTTTATTAGCTTGTATTTTTAATATAGCCATATCAGTTAGGGTCTGAAGACTGGCCTTGTAAAATAACCTTTTGACCTAATCTGATGACATCAGCTTTAACCAATCAAATTCCTTCACTCTCTCACAAAATGCCACCGCTGTTGAGGGTCAAAAAGAACCGCCTAAATACGTCACAGAGTCTTTGTTACTCTTCTAACAAAACACAAGACAATATTATAGAATATAACACA